ATTGAATACTGATCCAGAGTCGGGCGTTCAGAGGCTTAGTTGTTTGATATGATGGTTAGGTGCCTTGTCTCAGGGATCGGAACAAGCCTTCCTATTTTTGCAGAGCTTGTCCTCGCGCTTACGTCGCGGCATGGAGGGGAACCCATGTATAAAGATTAGATGTCACTTTATCTTTCGACTTGTTGCGAAATGCGTGGGCGCTTCAGTGTTGCAAATAACCTTTTAAGGTATATTTAATGGAGGTGCAACGATGCAACAACGGTCAAATCTTCTTTTATTGATGTTCGGTTTGGATGAGAAGGTTTCCGTCAATGAATGAATGGCTAAAGGTCATGAAGAGGATCTTTTTGATCACTGATGTTTAAGCTTAAATAAGAATCTTCCTACATATTAAAAATTATGAAGACAAGTAACTAAATCCCATTTCCTTCGTTGCACGTCCCACACACAAAGGGCTTTGATACAGTCACAAGCCGCGAGCTTATCTGCGCCTGTCAATGTACAACAACACAAAATTGCATAAGTTGTGCAGTGAATGCACGAAGAACATTTTGCACATAGATAAGACAGTAATAATAGCCTCATTCCTCGGTACAAAAATCTGGCGAGTGGGGATACAGTTGGGTTGATATTTCGGGAGCATGCCTTTAATGAAACAATAGCAAAACTGAATTCAATATTGGCTGCCGATGATACTACTGGATTTTTAAGGTTTTAGAAATAGTAAACCACAGTTTTTACAGGACACCGACATTCAGGGGATTAAGCAAAGAGCGATTGCCAGCAATTACCACGATACAGTGCATATCTAAGGATTAGAATACGCGAAAATACGGGTACATGCAAACGAATTAAAGTAAACAGGCATCACGCAACACGCCTCATTCAAACATGCAAGCGAGTTGAAATAAACAGGTATGACACATCACTCCGCAGGCATTACTTACACATGTTAACGATTTTAAGCTAGCGCACATCACACACCAAGACACATGTCACGTTCGCATATCGGTCATGATGGTCTCTATACGTTAATTATCGATACCTTACATAGATGAGAATTTGCTTTGAAAAATCAAACACATCGTCAAAAAATCAAGACTGCGCGTACGCACAGCTTGGAAGAACGACAATAAGCTAAAAAGTCTGTGGTGAAATGGTCCATCTCGTAGCATAAGTGGCATCGGTGGCAACATATATCATTTATGCAAATCTATGTTTCAAGGAAGTGGCACGCAAAAAGGGGTTTTAAAAAAAATCGACTGTAAACTGCATGAAAACATGGGAGGGACAAAGTCTTTGTCGAGGGGCTCATGTGCCCTATTTGTTTGAGATATAATAAATGCCTGCGAGACGCTAAAACAAACAGGGAATACACGTTTATGTCGTGGGGCTCATGTGTCCTATTTGTTTGAGATATAATAAATGCCTGCGCGACGCTAAAAACAAACAGGGAATACCCGTTTCGGTGACCATTTTTTTTTTTTTTTTTTTTGGCAAAGCACGCTCAGGCTGAAATCGAGGGAGGTATGAAGCCATTGCTCATTGCAGCAGCTCAAAGTCATCTACAGAGCAAAGGACCACCCAGACAGGAAAATAAGTGAATTCATTCGTATAACAAGTCGGCGACCAAATCTTAATGCATTGGGCCCATCATGGCCAAAATGCGAACGTCATGTGTGTCTTAGTGTATGATGTGTGCTAGCTTAAAATAGTTAACATGTGTAAGTAATGCCTGACGCGTAATGTACGACGCATGTTGAGCTGGAATCGCTTGCATCCCTATCTGATGCGTGATGTGTGTTGCCTGTTACTTCAACTCGCTTGCATGTTGGAATAAAGCGGGATTCGGGATGCCTGTTTGTTTGAATTCGTTTGCATACACATGTATTTTTGCGTATTCTAATTCTTACATATGCACTGCATCGTGGTTATGGCTGGTAATCGCTCTTTGTGTAATTCTCTGAATCTTGGTGTCCTGTAAAAACCGCAGCTTTCTGTTAAAAAAAATCCTGAAAAAATCGAATGGGATCATCACCGGGCAATTTTGAGTTTACGTGTGCCATAGTTTCGATAAAGGCATGTTGATAAAATATAAATACATCTTTATTTCTATTCTTTTGGTTTTTCTCTGAGGAATAAGGCTATTACTTCTGTTTTATCAGCACCAAATTGATACAATTCGCATCGCTACGTGACGCTGACAACGCGATCTTTTGCGCTTTCTCGCGCAACGCATCCCTTTTAAACTGTATGTCCACGTAGATACTTTCTGAAGCCGCCAAAATCGTCTGCAGGCATTCCGATTCGCCCATCTATATCCGCAAGTATTTTTCCTAGCACGTTGCTTCCGCAGGGTCTTCAGCGCCGTAAGACCTGTTAAGCTTCATCTATCCTCCTATCCACACTCACTGAATGACTCATTGATTTCTCTAACCAACAAATGTCGTTATAATCGCAAACATCGGCAGCAATTTCCGCTCCGCGAAGCAAACACCACATGCTGTGCAAACGCAGCGTCATTGTTTTCGTTTTTGTTGTTGCTGTTGTTTATTTACTTCTCTCTCACCTGCGGGCATGCTGTCGTTGTAGCTCCATTGGCCCTCTGAAAAAAGGGGAAAACAACGTTACTTGGCGAGGCAAGCCATTCCTTATTTGGAGCCACATCGTTTTTTTACTGACGGCGGCAGTGCGTTGTAGGAAGTAAGCATTATTTTGTACACCAATTAAACGCATAGAGCAACGTTGAAGAAAACACGCCGTTTGAGTGAAATGCCTACATCTTTTCGCGACGAGAAAGTCCTATTTAAAACTAAAAGCATGGACCAGACACTCGCAGGGTAATTATTGCAGAAAACAAATGGATCACAATAGCCGTAATGTGCAGGCTCCTGAACAGACAGTGAAAGTTTAGTGATCGTTTCAATGATATGTATGCCTGTGCATATTTTCATACAAACATAATTTTCGGTATAGATGTTTGCACATTTGCATACACGCACATGTGTTTATGTGCACCACATATGTATCCACGTGTACATCCTAACGTATACGCATGACGCCATACAGTATGTATGCGTGTATGTGCATATATATATATATATATATATATATATATATATATATATATATTTGCATAACTGTGTGTGCACATGCGTGGATGTTTGCAGGCGTGGATGTATGAATGCATACACACATGCATATACTCATTACGTATATAATGTGTTTGTATGCATTGTGCATGTTTGTTTATATGCATGTTGTGTGTATGCCTACATGTATGCATCCAGGCACACACACACACACACACACACACACACACACACACACACACACACACACACACACACACACACACACACACACACATATATATATATATATATATATATATATATATATATATATATATATATATATATATATATATATGTATATATATAACATGAATCAAAGCAGATGTGATTGTATGCATGCATTATGTATTCATGCGTTCATGTATGTATCCCTGTATGTATGCACTATATATCCATGCATGTGTTCATCTTGTGATAACAAATCGTTTTTATAAACAAAGGCAGAGAGACGGACCTGGTGCGTCGCTCAGAAGGAAGCTCCAGTCGCCGCCACCCGCCGCGCCGGCCACCAGCTGAGCGCAGAACAGCAGCAGGCGCTGCATGGTATCCGGGGGACGTCTGGCTGGCGGGCGGCTGGCGGCCACTGGCGGGCGATGTCCGCTCTGGCCCGCACTTTATAGCGGAGCCGAGCCGCCGCTGGCCACGTGCGAGGCGTCCGGTCACGTTCCGAGCAGGCGCGGCCGGGGGAGGGGCTCCAGACTCAACTGGACCGGTGACATCGCTGACGGGACGGCCAGCGTGTAACGACCCCGCTACCGGTGCAGAGCCGGCTGTTTTTGTGGAGCGGACGTGGCGGTCATGGGTTCGATGCGTTTCGAGGGCAAATGAAGCCTCTGGAGTCGTCTGCTTGTGGGAGTATACCGCATGATATCACTCAAACATGCTTCTGTGTCCAAGCCCAAGCGTTTGGATGATCCCGAGATAAACTCGGGCCTGTTGGTGCCGAACGTCACAAACATAACACAAGACGTCGGAGGTCAGCAATGTTAGGCACGCGGATACATACAAGCATATGGACAAATCCACGTCGGCGTTGGTTTAAGACAGTATTTTGTCGTCGGTCAGATAACGTTTTCACTGTGTAGTAAATGGTATGACCAGGAATGGCTGGAAGTTAGTGGCTGCGCACTGCAAAACTCAGGTGCGCGTGAGAATAAACGACTCCTCTCCATCTCAGCGCGGGAGCGGAGTGCAGACAAGTCACTGTGCTGTGCCGAGGGTGGCGGGACGTCAGCCGAGGTCTGAAACTCGCCGAGGCAGGCTTGCCGCACGGGGCACCTCGTGGCCGAGGGTGATAGTGTGCAGTCTCGCTACACCAGCGGCCGAGAGCCGGCTCAGCCTCTGAAGAAGTTGGAAAACATACCAAAACATTTGTTTTTGCGGTCCAATGTATCGTGTACAAATAACTTATCGTGACGCTGCCGTACACTGCGTTGCAGTAACGCACGTATACAAATAGGGTGTTCGCCTGTGTCATGAGGACCCTGGGGGCAGGCAATGCTTCAGATGTAACATACCATCCAAGATGCTAAAACAGCGTTTCCTGACGAGGGACACGTCACATTTCCAGCTGAGAGTGTGATTTAGGATCAGTCCGAAATTGTTGGCTTACCGACAGGGCGTGAGTTAATGGCAGTTAAAGGCGAAATAGGAGGGCGGAGTGCAAACATTTTGCGACTTTCGTAAGGCACCTTTTTTGCCAACGCATATGCCTGCGTTGGATTTCACCATTGTCTGAGAACGGAAGGTGGAGCAATGCCAGGAAGCACGCCATACGAGCGATTGTGTGTTTTTTAGCTTTAGTTTGTAGCTGGTGACCGAAATTTTGTTGTCATTTGCAAGCTGGACTTCCACTGCGTCCTCCACGAACAAGTTGACATAGTTTAAAGCACACAGAAGAGCAGTGTCCCCAGAGCGAGTCGCTGGAGCTCCCGGATGGTGTTCGGAAGCCTGGAAGGGACCTTTAAGTTGTCCAATTTGCCAGTGATACTGAAGCTTTGGTCTTTGGGTGCGACCCTTTTTAACATAGGCGCGAGATGGGTCGATCCTGTGACCGTATAGCTAAGAAAAAGGTTAGGAATAGTATATTACATCAAAACATCAGCTAAGGTCAAGGAAGCACTGCAGCGACCTTTGTCCACGGATGTTGACGCAACGGACGCGGCCAGATATGGATGTCAGCACTGTTTTCGTTGAGTGGGGAGGACAGAAACCTGAGAAAGGGGAGGGAAAGGAAATGAATGCATTAAAGAAACCTTAAAGCCGTTGGTGGACAGCCCGCCCTGCGAAACTTGCTATTACTGGGGCGATCGATGTAGGACAAAAGCTGGATGCGGTGGTGGTCACCGAAATTAAACATGGGCAAAACCATGGAATGTCTGTAGGACCATGGAATGTCCAGACTTCAGAGAGACGCAGGCTCGAATTGATCAGGTGGAGAAGCATCCCTCCAATGACGTCAAAACTGGTGCGAACAGGACGCAGGCAGGCGCCGTCCTCATGACAGGCCATTTCGCAGATACCGACATGAAGCAAACGGCATGGGTATGGGGAAACTCTGCCTGGTTGGCCCCCTCGCCGGCCACACGCGGGTGTGCGCTTACAGCATAGGTGTTGAGGTGGCCAGGTGTGGCCCCAGTTGTCACGTCAGGTGTGACACCTTGGCCGGCTTACCGCTACTCTCAACGGAGCAAATATTCCGCCACAACGACTGGCATGTAACGCCCGCCATCCGCCTCTGCGTGTGCTCGCTGGTGTCGCGGCGGACTCTTGCGCCGAGCTCAGCCGAGCAGAGCGCTCGGTGCTCTGCCCGGCTGAGTTCGATGCAAGAGTCGGAGATCATATGTATCATGAGCCAAAATTTCCGCGTGTCGTTTGTGCCTCACTCCATAGGTTTATAAATACATCAATAAAGCAACTCTATTGTAGTCGAGGGCGCGGTGGCCGTAATCTGAGATCACTCGATAATTGATGGTACATTAGTAGCTTGGCTGAATAGCTCGCCGAATAGACCTTTTGGGAATTGAAAATTGCTCGAATTAGCCCAAGCCAGAGGGCTGGAACCGCCAATCTAGCTGGGTGTGTGCCGATCCATAGACACTCATGTTCACGGCGTATAGCAGCGCACCTACAGACACGACAGTCCTCCCTTCTAACAAACCTACTACCACACACTACAAACCTCTCCTCGTCATAAAATATCGCGTCTGTTCGCACCTCCCACAGCAAATTGTAACAACCGAAGGGAAAAACAAGGCATTAACTTTACGCCACGAGTCATAATGCACACAGAGGTTTCGGCCGTTTAACTGAAAAGCTCCTGTTGTTGTTAATTGGAGTTTTAGGGCGCGTCGACTACTGTGGTCATTTTGCGCCCATAACAGCGAAAAGCTCCTAAGTGCGGAGCAGACCTAGGTCAGTCATAGGTCAGTCATAGGTCAGTCATAGGCCTTCCTCGGCCCCGCAACCAAACATTCGGGCCGCTGCCTATGCTAGTCAATACATTATGTCAGATAAGAGCGACTTGGCACCCTAGACCGGTGCGAAATGGTTTCCGACATTGCTACTCAGTGATGCTAAAAAAAAACACGTTCGTTATGGTCCAGCCGTCTGCTGCCGTCCGCTGCCACCCGTGGTGGCCATCGCGGCGCGTCCTATGGAGACTGCAACGCCGGACATCGCTGTTGTCGCACCCAAGATTGGAAGTGCACATACTTGAAAACTATGACACATATTTATATGCACATGTGCACAAAGAAGCCCATGTTACCTTCTAGGGACTCTGAGAGCACTTTCAAAGAAAGGGCCTTCCTTGGAGGAAGATGTAGATCTGCGCCTGTCCCTGAAACAGACCGCAACCGCTTGTCATGTGCCCTCAGCACATGTGCCCGCTACGTAGTTAATGCATGACCCCTACCTCGGTTTGCTTGAGTTTAGACTAGAACCCTTTTTAATGGTGGAACAAAACTACGTGCTCATAAGGGTTCATCCGCCGAGACTTAAATGGCTCGGGGACCCCTAACGGGCCGTGACTAGCGCCACCACTGGCCATGGTCAGACAATTCTAATGTGCCTGCCAGCGTCGAGTACGTCAGCATGCTGGAGGACCTTGACTCGTACGGAATCGGTTCGGATAGTAGTAGCACGTGGCTCTATGGTCATAAGCCAGTTCAGGGTGAGACCAGGGCACTATGTAATTATCACACACGGCTTGGCTCAGGGTTCGATTTTGGGCCCAGTCTCCTATTTTGGTCACCATCCGGCGCAGCGTGTGCCATAAGAAGAAACTATCATGAAGCTGAGGACGCCTAGATCCTGCTGTTGGGAGAACTTGTTGTGACGTTGAGGACACCCAGCTACCTGCCTCACGGGTAAGTCTTTATGACGCTGAGGACACCCAGCTCCCTGACGTATGAAGAAGTCATCATAAAGCTAGCTCATATATTGGGACAGCCTGTGCCAATTACAATTGAACCTTCTAGGCCGATAAACGATAAGAGCCCTTGCGCCGATTCGGCTCCAGCAGCCCGATCCGAAGGCCTCCCGTCAGGAAGACGATTGCTACATTATGTATTGCTCTGAAGGCATCTGGATAGACCAGGTGGCCCATGTCCCAGTGTCGTCAGTATATGTCGGATGCGCTCCACGCTCAGACGGGGCCCCAACCAGGCGACACTTGAGCTCACTCATGGCTGGTGCAAGCAGCTGGCCCTGGGTAAACGAGCGTCGCAAGGATAAAGGCTAAAACGAGAATGAGAATAGAAGGGCGGATGACCTTCTTAACCTTCTTGTCACAAGTAGGGGTAATTTGAGAAATAAAAAAAAACTCTCAATTGGCCGCGCCCAATCTGGTAGCTTTTGATATTGCCATGTAGTCAATGCGCTGTGATTGTACACGTTTCTTGTCCCGGAGGTTCTCTGTCTGATGGTGGCTACCGGACACCAGACTACCTGCGGGAGTAAGGAACTGCTATTTCTTGAAGGTTTGTTGCATCCAGGACGCGCTCTGTGCGCATGATTTACTTCTGTGCTTTCAATAGGCATGGGTGGGACAGATGGAGCATAGTTTTTAGCAGTGTTCATTCGGTGAAGTACCCTGTGGGCAGCCGTGCTCGCAATCGCCGCCCCAAAAATGCTTTCGTCTGTGTGGCACGTTGGATTGTAAACGTGCCTCGAGGTATAATTCGGAATGTTCAGTTTTTTATTTTCATCTTAATCAGTCTAAGATGACCCTCTTATGCCCATGGGTGGCAAAGAAGAACTGGGTCCTGATAATATTCTTGATTGGCCAGTGCCAGGAAAGGCTCCTTGGGTAGTCATTTCATGGTTGATAGCCGCCATCTGCGATGAAATCCATCCCATCCACTGCACCAAGTGTTAACATGATGTCTGAGTGATGAACATATAGCATGCAGGTGCTAAACAGCCCAGGTCAAATTGTGCTGAACGGCCAAAGTATTTGTGCTTGAAAAATGTCGGATTTGGGCACGCCGTGATTGTTGCTGAGATGTGACTCGATGTGTTTGGTGCAACATTTTTGCAGCCTGGATAGCCAGTGTCAGTCTAGAATGCATGCTTTATTTTGATGCAACTGAAATGTTTGCTCAAAACTTTCTTGCACCTAACTATTGACAGAGTTTATAGCAAGATGCATTCTTAGTGTTCAGTTTGAAGCATTTAATTGAATTGAAGTAATGTGTTTGGTTGGAAGTGAGTCATGCTTTGTAGACTGATTTATCATTCAGATTATTCTGCAAAGCTTGACAGACCAGTCCATGAAATGCTTGCAGTAGCTGCAATCCCATTCCAAATGGGTACCCAGCCAGCATCTGCTCCGGCCTGGGCAAGGGACATCCTGAAGTCTTCCTGCCGGTCTCATTATGCAGTCATCTCCTGAAGTCTTCCTGCCTGTCTCAGTATGCAGTCACCCATGAAATAAGCCCATTTAGGGGGGTTCTGTTAAAATGGGATTTGTGTGATTAAAGTGATGGTTTAAAAACCTGTGTACCAGGTTCAAAAGACTTGCAGGGATGGGTTTAAAAACCTGTGTACCAGGTTCAAAAAGCTTGCAGGGATGCCAACACTGTGTTTGGAGTTGAAAAATGGACAGATATAAAAACCTGCTGTTTTAGCCATCTATTGTCATTGTTGGGTTGTTAGCCTCTCCATAGGATATGTGTCATGGCTGGGCTTTTACTGGAATCCCAGGTGCATCTCTAAGGCAGGGTAATTACCCTGACTTGAAACTTCTGGCCTTTGTGGAAAGTCTGTCCTTGCCCCAAATGTTCACTCCAGGTCTACCCTAACAAGGTCCTGTAAAAACTTGCTTTGTTCTGCCAGGCAGATAAAATGTACACTATGCTTAATATTTGGCATGCAGGATATACATTTGTTTGCAAATGCCTTTTTACACTAAAAGTATGTGATTGTTCATGCAATAATTATATTGTGCTGAATTGCGCAGCACACTGCATGAAAAGCATTTTTCTTAACTAGCAATCACAAATTACATATTAGCAGATAATTTCCTTTCATTTCAAAAGAAGATGCTTTACCAATATGAGGCAAATTGTCATCTGATAATTGGCAGTGCCATCCTGCTCAGTTTTGATGTTCTGGACTGCCATGTTAATAAAAAAACTCACTTGGTTGGCCCACATGAGTTAGATAGTCCTGGTATTTTTGAGCAAAGAAAAACTATAATGAATTCAAAGAGTTTGTTTCTAGTATGGCATGATACATACAGTCTTTAGGCAGTCTTTTTCTAAGGAGGTGTAATCAGCTGTGTTTTCAAAGAATGATAGTGGCTCTTGTGCTCTAACTGCTTGATGGCAAAAATACCAGGCAGATGCCCATTAGTGATAACTAGGTAGCAAGGTCACTATGTCATTCACTCTCTGTATCTGACATTTTGATAAATTGTTGTGTTGACCACTGAGTCGATGCAGTCGATGCAGAGCAGTCGATGCGCCCTAAATCCCCAAATCATCATCATCATCACCACTGAGTCTCCTGTTCTGGCATTCTCCTGCTCTGATGGTCTGCTGCTCTGACAGGCATCTGCTCTGACAGTCTCCTGCTCTAATGGCCTGCTGCACTGACAGGCTCCTGCTTTGACAGTCTTTTGGTCTGACAGTCTTCTTCTTTGGCAGTCTTCTGCTTTGATGGACTGCTCTGACAGTCTCCTCCTCCAACAATTTCCTGCTCTGACAGTCTCCTGCCTTGACATTCTCCTGCCCTGACAGCCTCCTGCTCCAACAGTCTCCTGCTCAGACAGTTTGCATCATGTGAGTGAAGAGGAGATGACTCACATCCACCTGTCATTGTGTATTTCGTAGACTATCTGTTAGTCTGCATGCAATGAATGCTGGTGCATTTATGTGTGTTATTTTCAAAAAGTTGACCTGTTTAAGTTTTAACTGTGCAGCTTGTCACATTGTTTCATTCTTGTGTTGCCCATATGTGTAGTATTTTCACCAAGGTCTGGGAGTGAAATGACCCTGGCCATTGAGATGCCCTTAGGCCTCAGTCATCATTGTTACTGTGGTCATGCTGTGGTCATCTACACGTCCCCACATACACAATGTAGCAATTCCAGGACAGATGCTGTGTTGTTTTATGCTGCTCAGTGACAAATGCAGCTGCTGCACTGCCCACCAAATTGGCTGTCACTCCCGGCCAAATGGGGCTTCTTGATATATGCTAGTTTAACTACAATGGTATAGAAGCCATAGCTTTATCATTGTCAGCTCTACCATGATTTGTTAGCTACAGCAGTGGTGTATGCATGCTGTTTGAAATGCCAACAATTTTGCATATATTGCTGTCAGTTGTACAACAAGACTGAAGTGCTTAGTATTTATTGGAATAATCAGGTTCCACAGTATTGCTGTCATGTATAAGCTAGTTTGACTAGCATGCTTTTAACTTGCATTGAAGGCAATTTTGGAAAAAGCTGTATGTGGAATGTTGTTTCACTCAGATAAGGCAGAAGTAACAGCCTTATTCCTCACATGAAAACCAGTGGGATTGAGAGACAGATGCTTTGGTACTTCTGCAACATGTTTTTACTGAAAGATATATCAGTAGATGTTCTTCAATATCAGTGGATAGTAGATATTTAGAGATATCATTAGGTATTCTGTTGATTTTTGTTTTGATAAAGGCATGTTGCTGGAATATCAACACATCTGTCTCTGCTCTGCTAATTTTTCTATGATGAATAAGGCTATTACTACCATCTTATCTATATGTATGATATTCGGTGTGAATGTACCTAACAACTCGTAATGTTGTGTCACTTACATTCATAATTTTTACATGGTTAGGTTAGGTTAGGTTAGGTTAGGTTAGGTTAGGTTAGGTTAGGTTAGGTTAGGTTAGGTTAGGTTAGGTTAGGTTAGGTTAGGTTAGGTTAGGTTAGGTTAGGTTAGGTTAGGTTAGGTTAGGTTAGGTTAGGTTAGGTTAGGTTAGGTTAGTGACACAACTCGTAATGTTGTGTCACTTACATTCATAATTTTTACATGAACTTCTGTGAACTTGATCTTTGGTTGTGTCAAATTTTCAGAATAATAATGCCAAGTAGGAATGGACAATGGAATAAATATAGGTTGGCTCATGCCAAATGTTAATGAGTATATTATTTTTACAGTAGATTTGTTGCATTTGATGGCATGCATTGCATTCCCAGGCATCTATGCACCCCTGTTTTTGCATGAGAATGTGTCCATCATTGTTACAGCCAGTTGTAAAAATTACTTAGCCAGGTCACAGTATTGAGCTTGACGCATCACATGCATTGGTTGTTATGGTCACTCTTGTTTCCATTGCTAATGATGGCATTGACTGATGTATCTAAAAGGCATTCTGCCTGTGTTTGTGCTGCAGAAGTGTATAAGTACTCTTACCCACCCTGAGTGCACCTATGACTTCTGCCAAACTTCTGTAGGAAGGGACGTTTTTTGCCATTTATATTGTAACCTGTGAGAATGATTCAGGTAAATGCTTTCAGACATTGCATTGCATGTGACAATGATTTTATCGATCCATTCCGAATATTCGTTGGGGCATGTACTCCCGAAGTTGTGCATGCGTTGCGACCCAAGTAGTCCGACTAGTAATGTTACACGTTCTGCGATGGGGCGCAGCGCGGCGGCTGCTGTTGGTGTCTCGGTTGTATGCGGTCGTCTAACTGACGCTTGTCGAAGCCGGTCGAAGCCGCGCCGGGTTTTTGCCCCCGCGGCGCTGCACAACGCGATAAAAACTCCCGGGTTCTGGCGGGGTATTAGCAAAAGCGGATGGACGCTAGCTTTGTTTCCATTTTACGGGTAGAACATTGTGACCGTTTGTGCTGTGCTTTGCCTTAACACGCGCTCGGGTAGGGGGTCAAATTGACCCCCCAGAGGTTTTTCTGGAGTGGTTTCCGAACGGCGCGGCGTAGCCGCGCCAAATTTTGATGGCTGTAGACAGTTGAATAGCGGATCGTTTGGCATCAAAAATGTAGATGTACCTTGTGAAGTCGCTGACCCATGGCAGGTCAAAGTCAGGACACGGTTTCAGCGAAGACAATTTCTAGGGAATCCTTCAATCTGATCCAAGAACGGAGTGTTAGACGAAGCCATACGCCTGTAAGATGCTTTCGCAGGCAAGACAACAGTGGAATGAGCAAATTACATTGACCTAAGGTCAGATATGAAGGTCACACCAAGGTCAAAACCAATTTGTTTTGTTACTCTGGGGCTTGCTGCATGTGATAGTTTCTGGTGCTCATTTCGAATTTATTGATAGCAGGAACCGCATTATACATCTTACATGGACTTCTTAGAGGTAAGAATAGGTCATTGACCTAAAATGACCCAGGTCAACATTTCGTTTTGGGAGCATACTGCCTAGCGTAATCTTTGTTGCTTAGCCAAATGCAAAACTCAAATCAATCTTGAATGATTTTGGTCACCTTGACCTTCAAAAGGTCAATCAAGGTCGCTGACCTTGAATGAGCATGTGACCTTTTGCTTAGAAACGGTTGTCTAGGTTCTGGGGGCATTTTAAAGACCATCTTTGAACTTGACCTTGTTTAACCTTTTTTTGATCCGAAGGTCATAACCTAGGAATTTGAAAGCTTGACTTAAGTGTCGTCATGCACAGATCAACACACCTCGTAAATTTGGTGTCTCTAGCTTTCTTAGTTCCCGAGATCTCAGGGAGGGGGTCAAATTGCCCCCCCCCCCCCACCCGAGCGAAGGGTATCTAGCCGGCCACCCGGGCGCACGTTAGGATGATGGCAACTGCTTCGCTCCTGCAACCTGCGCTTCTCCTGGGCTGTGGGGAGGGACGCTTTTGACTCGGTTGAACGTATACCCATGCTCTCATGTTGGACAGTGCGGTGGTGGCAGGGGAGGAAAAACGTGCGCCGGAAGACAGAATGGCTGTCACATTCCGGGTATGTTTTCCTGGGGGGGGCGCTGCCCGAGCCTAGCGTGCTACCCCGAGATTGGGACCGTTCCGGCCCGTCGTCGAGTCTGCCCCGAGCGCTGGCCGTCGTCGAGGCTGACTCCGAGCCGTCTGGTGCTCCTGGCGCGCTCGCGTGGCGTGCCGCCGCTGTCCGACGCCGCCGGGCACCGAACACGATAAACAGGGTGCCTGTCTCCTGCCGCGGGAAGGGGCCGTATCAGCCCGCGGGCGTGGGGGAGGGGAAGCACCAGGTCCGGCGGCGCCCGGACGCCGGCTATGTACGGGCGGGACGGCACCGGTGTGGTCGCGACGCTCCGTGTCCCGCCGGCGGTGAGCAGGGCGCTGCGTCAGCGACACGGGCATTTGGGAGTGCTGGTGCCCGATACGCGCCTGCTGCGGTCGTTTCGACTCGTGCCCGGTGCACGGTTGTTGGGCTGCTGATCTCCGCTCGTGTGCTTGCCAGTCGTGTGGTCAGTTTGCACATCTTCCGGGGCCGGATATGCGACAGACATTCTGCATTGCCGAGCGTCTTCGGACCGCTTGTGGGGCGTCTCCGGTGGTGTTGTGTTGTCGAACTGCGAACTGGACTTCCGGCGATTTACGACTTTGAGTTTTTTACGACTAGAAGTTTTACCGCGCACGGACACGTGAGCTGGATAAGTTTTACACGGCCACGCTCATAAGTAGTCCTGAGTATCAGTTCATTATATTGAACAAAAACCATGTTAAAACGACTTGTGTAGCAGACAGGGGAACAGTCGAGATCCTCCTGTTTTGGTTTACCGCTGCATCACACTTCACTTTTGACTTGGCTAAAAAATTGTGTGGATATCGCCGTTTTGAATTTGAAATGTCTATCTGCAGGTCCTGCTTGAAACAAGCGGAGTATTGAACTGTCAGCACAATGAATTCTGGTGGCCAAGGAAATCGACCGAAGAAGACTCGAAGCGCCGCAATGTCCAACTCCAACAACAACGCCAGGTCAGTGGCCAGTGGCGGCGTGGTCCAAACCGCTGCGCGCGGCCGCCGGCAGCCGATGGTGCTGATGGGCCAGCCAGACCTGGACCGGTCCGGGCGGCGGCCCCTCGCTGTGTTGCCACGGACCGGGGCAGGTGTGGGCAGCGGCGGCGGCGGGTGCTGCCGGGCGGGGCCGCACATTCTTGTCGGTCCGCGACCGGTGGTGGTCCGCACCTCACCAGTAGGTCGCGGCCTGGGGCCCAGCATGCCGGGCCAACTCGGCGGCCATCTGTTCGCCGGAGCACGAATTTGACGTTCGTTATCGGGATATGTGCCATGGCTTTAATGGCGGAGGGTCCATGGCATCAAGACAGAGGAAGAGTTGTGAGCAAGCAAGTTAAGTGGGTGCTGTGGTAGGGCTTCCAACTCTTGCGATTTTTGCCCATCTGCCATCCTACACGTCTTCAACAGCTAACTTTCAGAACTATGGGTGGGGAAGGTTTTCTCCCCGCCGTCAAACGCAACGCCGGTATCATTTTGGTGATCGGAGAAATCAATGAGTTCTATGTCATCTCGTGTTGCGTTTATGTGTTTTGATACTTTAACCTCTTGCTCATTTTGGGGCAGGCTGGTCTGGTATCGACTATCAACTTCTTATCGTCGCTCAAAATCTTATCTCCACGCCTTCCCGTATCTCTGTATATCTGCGTCCTTTTCGCCCCGTTGTTGTCTTCCTTCAGCGTCCAAGTTCCAGTCCTCTTACGCCTTATGGCGTTACGAATGTGCGACGGTAGGGACCCCGCCAGTGCTTCACCGGCGAAAGGGACGGGCCACTTATATTGTGCGTGCGGAACGGATCGCATCAGCCGCTTACGAGGGAAAAAAGAAAAACATTATTGCTGCGGTCACTTGCCGTAATACAAATTAACATATAAATATGCAGTTTTGCGAAAATGCAGCAAGTAGCAATGCAATGTAGCGTGCTGTGTTGGTCGTTGGCGTCCGGGTCGTGCATACGATCATACATATTGCGCAAGACGTCGTGGCTGGTAAATACAATGCATCGGACATTGCACGTCTGTTGTCGGCGGTCATTTATCAAGGTTTGACAATTTCAGTTTTCTTCCAAACCTAGCTTGCCCAAACGTTTGAGGCCATGCGCACTGCTGGATACGGCGATGTGCTGAGGCTATATGGGGTCGCCTGCCTATCACCCTGGCTGGAGGGGCAGCGGGCACCGCGGGGAACCAAACCTCATGCCCCTTGTTTGCCAGACGCGCAGTGGTTAAAGATTGCATCTAGTTCAACCATCTTTCACCGTACTGGGACTGCCAACGCTATCGGCCGGGCCCATAAGCGGCTATTTTTGGCCTTCACTATTTTTGTGCCGAACGACGTGCTAAGGGAAACTGCTGTATGTGGTATGTACCCGCCGCGAATGTGTTGTGTCTTCAAGTCTTAGGGAGGTGTATTTGTCCGTATATTTATCCGTATATATATCCGTGCGTTTTCCGTGTTGTGGTCGTGCGGAGCTGCAGGGAGCACGCCGTGCCGCGCTGAGCAGTCAGCTTACACCACGCTCGGTGGCCCTTAGTCAGCGGATTTGTGTAAACTGTCGCATGGGACCGAACAGGCTCTGACATCCAAAGCCCCACCTGTGGGGTGCAACGCCGGCCGGCCAGAAAGGCTGCGACCTGATTTGACGGTAGGAGATCGGCGGCGAGTTCCATGGCCGGAATGCGCCGTGTGCCCAGCAGTCGGCGCGTATATCTGTATACCGCTTTGCTGTATATCTCCACAATCCTAAGTGATGAAGTGGCGTGCATGGCGGTCGGTTCCGCCGGCCTGTCTGCAGCGGCTGGCGGTTCTGTGCTGTCGCCCACCGGCCTGTCTGCAGCGGCCGGCGGGTCTGTGCTGTCGTCCGCCGGCCTGTCTGCAGCGGTGCGGTCCGATCGGAGCTAGGCGGTGTGATCGATGATGGGCGTTAGTGGCGTGTGTGGAGTACGGTTCGTGTCTGGGACGAGACGCCGGCGATCAGTGATGAGACCAGCGTCTGCCGGGAGACATGTCCCGTCCGCAGCCAGTGTGACCCCTATTGCCCGGTGTTTAGTTCGGGAGGCGCGGGCTGTGAGGTCACTGCTGTCCAGCTGATCGGACGGGACGCGGCGGACCGTCTGCGGGCCGTTACCCGTGTCAGAGGACGGTAGCGAGCATCTGCCGTGTGCTGCGGAGCCCCGCGTCGGGCGGGAGACGGACCGTTTGCGGAGGCGCCGCATCCCAACGGCGCGTTCCGGACGGAACAGCCGTATCGACCGGCCCGGCCAGTGTCCACGCGGGATCGATGTCCGCCCGCGGCTGGGACAAGGCCGGTCTCATTGAGGCGCCGGCCCCCCAGCTGCCATCCGGCGGCGGCCGCCGTCCCCCGGCGCCGGCCACGCCAACACCGCCGGGCCCGCCTGTTTGTGTCCGCCAGTTTATCTTGTTTATCGGTTTGTTTCGTCTGTCGTGAACTCAAGCGCTGGATGCGACGCACTTGATTCTCAGCCTGCGGAGATGAGCGAGGCCCGCACCCAGCGTTTCGATCGTCGGCTGTCTTTAAACAGCCAGTGTACATGTCTGAAACTGTTGGTAAGTGGTGGTCAGACTCATTGCCCATCTTAAGAATTTGCTCGGGTACAAATAATGCCGTAGAGGCTTTATGATCAGCTGTATGCAAACAGGCGGGTGGTCGAAGGAGGGCGCATAGATAAGGCTGCCATTTATTGTTGGTAATCACAGCGCACAGCGCTACTGTAATATGTTGCAAAAGTCATCGATTTTGTGACAAAAGGAAACAGTCAGATGAAGCTTAAGCAGTGACCGGAAGCATATAAAGCGTAATTTACTCGTAAGTTTGATCATGCCTCCATATTTGATGAGAAAACGGGTTGGGTGCTAGGTTTTCATTAGAATGCGTGTTAGCGAGCTTGCAGTTCCTGAGAACATACGCACACCTGAAGAAGAAGGTTCAGAGTATATATATATATATATATATATATATATATATATATATATATCCCGGATGTCTTTAAGTTCCCGTGGCTCGCCCGTCCTGCGACATCGATTTGCCTCACCCCCTCCCTGACACATCCGTAGAGCATCGGTTGACCCAGGTATCAGTATTGGGCATAGTTCCTGCGTACGCCGTTGCTCTCAGGTTGTGCTAAAACTGCCGCCACCTTTCCAGATCTAATTTTGACGAGTACGTCACACGGTGCACTGAAACAAAATGGACGCAAGTCTGCACAACATATCATTTTAACCGTGTCTTGTGGACTGGGGGGTGTACTTTCAGGCCCGACAGTTTTGTTCGTGGCTTTCAAATGGTTGAAATTAAGCTGTTTGAATAGTTACACGAAGAACACAAAAAATCTAACATTGCAAATGTATCCCCACATTTGCAAAAGTTTCTTCTGTGTTGGCTGTACAAGACAGTTTGGGACTTAATCGAGCAGTGTTACGAAATGCTATGGCGATCATTCCCCAGTGTAATATGCGTCAGGCCTGACAGGATATCTTACCTTTTTTTGTGCATATTTCAAGGCGATTGCTGGGGTATATGAATTATACCAGGGTGGCTTACGTTAACCAAAATCGAGTCTAAATCAAGTGTCATGTTTCGAGCTTGCCCATGTAATGATGGCAAACCTCATCTGCTGGTCGTTTTACCTCACAATTTGCCTACGCATATAGTTGAGAATTGCTTTTGGGTCGAGGACATATGCCTTGTTGTGTAACATGAATGCATTCTTATTTCCATTTCAGTTATACAATCACATACCATCATTATCTTTCGTTTTAGAAGACTTGACACGCATCGGATGAGGGCCAAAGTTGCGCGTGCTTTACATTTACATTAAACCAAACTGCTCATATACAATTAAATTGATTTGAAAGAAACTACTTACCCTAAACCAAACTATTACATTGCCACATCACACCCTCTGTGTTTTTGCATATAACTTTCGAGCGGTTGGCATAAGGACGCTGAAGTATACTGTAGACACTTGAATAACAATAGCCGATCCTGTGGTGTAAAAAATGAAATATTCTTATGGACAGTAACCTGAATTGGGTCAAAGTCGGCTGATGATTGTCAGCAAAAGTTATGGTTAAGAAATCCGTCAAGCTGATATAACAACGGATTTTAAGCGAAGTCTTAAAGGGTTTGGGACAAGATTACAAGTAAGTTTTGATTTATAAGTTCATTTTATATTAGTATTTTTATAACAAGGTTGAAGAAGGCAATTCAATGACGGAAGCTAAGGTTATAGCATATTGACCTTGGTTTATTCATATAGGTCAGAAGGTCCGATTCACATTTGCTCAGATTCACGTTTGTGCATTCATAAGAGCCAGAAGGTCAGGTCAGGGAAAAAATAAAAAAATGTCTGGTGAGTTGTTTGTGGGATAGTTTCTGACGCGCATCTCAAATTACTTGATGGCATAAAGGTAACATTTATTATACTGACTGCAAAGACCGGGTAAGATTACGAACCTAAAAAGGCCGTGGCCAATCCTTTGCGTTGAAGAGCTTGCCATCGAGAATAGTTTTGGACGCTGCTTTTAAATTTAATCACCAAAATTGTCTTGCGGTATTTTGTCATTTTGACTTTCTATTGGTCAAATAGTTTACTGACGTGGAATGGTTCTGACTGAAGTTTGCTTGGAAAAAGCGTCTAGATTCAGGCTGGTTGCGTGAGTAAGTCCGGCGGAAAAAACTTTCGACCTTGCTACCGAGTTTGTATTCCAAGTTTATCTATGGTCGTACCTACCCTGTAAATTTAGTGGCCCCAGCTCTGTTAGTTTTCTACATCTTAAGGGTCAAGTTACGCCCCCACCCATCATACTCCTACAGACTGCGTCCTAAATAGCTTACCGCCAGGACGTGTAATAAAGAGAATATTTCACATTTGAAGATATTGAATCAAACATGAGATATGATGAAATAGGGGCACTTACAACTATTGGTATACTTTTAAGTAGAAAAAACTGCTCTAGACACCTCAATTTCTTTGTTTACTGAATCTGCGTCTCGATGCGTCGTTGTTTGATTACGTCATCGTACCCTGCACAACATTGATTGCGAGCCATTGGATGACCTTTTGTAGAAATGGTATTCACGAACGTCAGCCATGAATGACTCGACGCTCTATGTTTTTATCGGCCTTGATCGCCGCACGGATTGTGCTATGGTAGGATTAGAATGGCGTTATTATGAAGACATGAATGCTAAGATGACTGAAATACCCTCCCCGAATACTGTCCATTTTCGCGGACGTATGTGTAGCTCAGGAACTAGAGGGTTTTAGGTTTTCAGAAGGGCATGACTGTGAACTGCATATACAATTTTTAAAGATGGACATTTCAGTTAAAAATCCCGTATAAATGTGGACCACTCCCTTTAACGGAGGTGTATTTGCACCAAATAAAGCCGCTATGATAAGAGAATACAGGTTATGTATAGACAGTGACGTGACAAGGTGCATGAGCAAGGCTAGTTGAGCTACGGAGGCCACTCAGTGAGAGGCTTGGAGCCATGCGGAAGGAAGCCAACCGTTACGGTGGCGTCGCTGACAGTGAGCGCTGGCTGCGGCGTCCGGCTGCCGTGCAGCGCGGTGACCGGGTCGGCTGGCCGGCCCTGCCCGGCCGTGTGAGGGATCGGCTTGGTGCGCCTGGTGGCCGCTCAGCCGCTGTCGCGCGGCCGGCTGCCGGCGCCCCGCCGCACCGCGGCCGGCTCTCCCCACCACTCGTCAGCGTCCGACAGGCCCGCGCGGGTTACCTCTGCCCCCCCCCCCCCCTGGCCGGCGATCGGCGACTCCCCCCCCCCCCTCTCTCCCCCGCCTGGAATGTGGCGAGGGTGGCGCCGCGACCCGACCCGACCAGATCGGGCCCGATGTGACCGGCCACCGTCGTCCTCCCTCCCCCCAGGTACCGGACCAAGGAGTCGCGCTCCGGCCCACACCGGCCGCCGCTGGAGGCGTCTGGCGTGTACGCCGACCCCAAGTACGCGCACGTGCTCACCTCGGTACTGGGCTGCACCGTGCAGGTGAGTGGAGCTGGCTGCTGCGGCTGCCGGACCCCGGCCAACACATCCACATTGTCACGGCCAGCGGGATTGTCAGTTCACTCACGCATGGGATGTACGCAGTATACACGCCGCTTGGTAGCCAGCAAACTGCGGCAGCGCAGAGGGCCGTTTCAGTCCACTTGCCCAAAGTGGCGTTGGTGTCAAAATGTGGTGCCGTCACGTGTGCCGTTCGTCCACTGAGGTGTCTGCGCAGAGGGCCGTTTCAGTCCACTTGCCCAAAGTGGTGTTGGTGTCAAAATGTGGTGCCGTCACGTGTGCCGTTCGTCCACCGAGGTGTCTGCGCAGAGGGCCGTTTCAGTCCACTTGCCCAAAGTGGTGTTGGTGTCAAAATGTGATGCCGTCACGTGTGCCGTTCGTCCACTGAGGTGTCAGCGCAGAGGGCCGTTTCAGTCCACGTGCCCAAAGTGGCGTTGGTGTCAAAATGTGATGCCGTCACGTGTGCCGTTCGTCCACTGAGGTGTCTGCGCAGAGGCGCCATAAATGGGAGACACGCGGTTCCACGCGTCCTTCGTCACAACTACGGCTTATCCAGGCATGGGACGTGAGGACGTGGTGTGGCGAACGTGAGACCTGCAACAAAGACTTGATTTTTGTGTCTCATTTCATATGGCGGCCCATCACCTCCTAAAACGCATGCAGAAAAATATGCCAACAAAAGACAATGATGCCATTATGGAAGCCCGCACCTCATTCTCCCCGTGGCGGACGCCTGTTGGGAGTTCTGTTACAGGTCGGGCTCATCCGTGCAAAAGCATGAGTGCCTGCCTGCGCCAACACCTCTGCCCCCACTGGCATTGGCCCCCTCCCACCCGCCGCCCACCCCCTGCCGTGCGGCGCTTTCTTCGCCGGTGGCGAGCGGGTGGGGGGAGGAGGGTGGGGTCGGAAGTGACCGCGTCGGCGGTGGCCACCAAAGTCACACGCGGTGTAGGTGTGCCGGGCGTCATGTGGGTCTGTCGGCCGTAGCCGACCGCTCCCGGGAGCTGCCGGAGATGTGTGCAGCCAATGGGGCTGAGGCATTGACATTGTGGACCTGCTGAGTTGCGGAGTGTGGTCACTGCAGTAAGTATGTCCACCCAATTTTGGAAAGCTAAGCGTATCCGCATTGACCTGACTAATTAAGCGTCGGTATTACGACCGATTATCAGCTGGAATCATTACATTTGCTTCTGGGATGGCGGACATTTCTCCGTTGTGCCGTTTGCTGTGTCGTATTTCGGTCATGCAGCACGCAAAAATCGTTGTCCCAGGTTGCATGGTCAATTTGTATCTAGCTTGATAAAGCGGCTTATTGTAAGGGAATTTACTACTTCCAATGTTAACAGGCCACGCGATATCAGTGTGTTTAAAAAGCATACATACCGATGGCGCTATTACAGGCGGGCAGGATGCTGAAGTTATTGGGAATGTTCGTCTCCCAAAGTTGCAGATGAATTGTGTCGCACCTCCATGGTGTTGTACACTTCGTTAACAAATCCAAATGTCAGAATTTCGCGGCCCTTTGGTTGCCAGCGCCATCTGTTTTACTTTTGGTAGATGGCGCTAGATAGCAATCATCTTTGCGCACCCGCCCTGGCGCGGCATGCGCCCTTTGTGACCGCACAGAGTTCAGGCCCACTGACCAGCTGCGACGCGGCCCGCTTTGTGTCCGAGCTCAAGCACTAAACATTGCACCGCACAAGGCCACCAAAATAGGTACTGGCCGGCGGGCGGGGTGCGTTGCACTCGACGGGCCGACCTTGCCAAGTACGGCGGATCGACCCTGCCGGAGCCGGCGTGACGTCATGTCTGACCGGCGGCCGTCATTGGCGCAGTCATGACGTCACGTCTGAGCGGCGGGCGCCGACGGCCGTCATTGGCCAATGCTCTTGCAGGTTGTTGGATATGTCCGCATTAGAGTCCTTTCTGAGCGAATGGTAGCTTCAATCCGCACCCTGAACTGGAAATGTGGCAGCTTAAGAGTCAATACCCCGGCCATTTTGACAGGTTATGTTCCGCAAGCGCAAGACGTACGCATGCTCGCACGCTTCTATGTAGCGTCCTCACAATGCAATACTATTTCGTGCGCAGTATGCGCGTATAGTGTTGCAAGATGGATGCGTTTGACGTGCTGCGCTCGAGTGAAGCTTGAATACGGGTCGCGTTTCATTTCAGCTTCTGTGTTATTGATAGACAAACACAAGCCCTGCCCACTCGAATGCTAGGCTGTTTCATACCAGCTACTGGCTTCGGGAAAGCGGTACATTAGCCGCGCATCTGTGCCCATCAAATTTGGGGAGAAAAATGAGTTTGTGAGCTTAGAAGCAGTCACCTATCAAGTCGCAAGCTTAAAAAAATAATGTCCCGCTAAATCCCTAGTAGCCCGCACACTAACTAAAAAAGACAAAACGCATGTCACATGATGTCGCCTGCGCTGCGCGCCGCCATGTTCATGGACGCCCCGCCGACTACCGAGGTGTTAAAACGTTTTGCGAGCCCAGTCGTCGACAAGTGTGACGTCACACCCTCCGCGTCACGAATCCATCATGGGTGCCCGACCAATCATAAAACAGGATTTCGGCTATTGGTAACGCGATAGTTAAGGTGAAACGCCTCCACGGTGACGACAATGCAATTGGCACGATCGGTGAAGCTGACACCGGCAGTGCCAGCAACGGGATCCAACAAATAATGTCTTCTTTCGGAGCACCACGTGACCCCTTCCCGCCATTTTGACCCTCGCAGGTGTTCTCAATTACTGCTGGCCGGCGTGCCATTTCTGCAATCTCCGCCGCAGGGTATTGCGTAGCGTCCCCAGGACCCGCCCCCCCCCCCCCCCCCTAGCCTTTAGCGCAGGCGGCAAGAGTCACAAAGAGCACTGATGGCGGCGGCCCTGTCGGCATTTGCAGAAACTAGTGATTTGAATCCTCCCACCGGGTGTGCTGATGTGACCGTCTCGTCCTTGCCCCTCACTTATTGAAGTCAGAGGGTTGGAGTACCTTTGTTATAGCCCGAGTGCATGCCAGTGTCATGATGTATCGTAGCGCGGCTTTTGTTACACAAAATCACCTGCTCAACCTGCTGCCGTGGGTGTGCTTCGAGAACACAGGTGTAAAAACCCTATGTCTCGTGATGAATTACGGCCTCTGGGTAGGCTTGTGAAAAAATGGCCCGCAGATGAGAGTGTGGAGACATCGTGCCTCGCCAAGCCACGCCACATTAAGAGCGATTTATCTATGGTATAGATGCTGCACACATAGCCTCTATATATCTATCAGTGCCTCACAATCTCTGTGTCCGTCAATTCATACCAAGGGCGTGCCTGTAGTGTATTGGTTAACGTGTCTGCGTCAACCACTGCGCGTCTGGGAAACCAGAGGCACGGGGCTCGATTCCCCGCGGTGCCCGCCCTTCCTGCCAGGGTGAGAGACAGGCGACGCCATATAGCCAGAGCAGCTGAGTACGTCGTAAAGCCCCAATAACGCACAATTCTTACCAGGTATGAAGCACCGCTGTGTATAGGGCCAACTCCTGAGCAGTTACACATAATTATGCACCATTTGTTCGTGTGTATGCTAGGAGCCTGAGAACTAGCCTTTTGTTCGTCATTTAACTCGTAGCTGAGTTATGGTGTTGGCTCCAGCGTGGACGGATCCAAAGCAACGCACTGTAATTTTGCGTTCACGCTCTGCTTCTTGTTGCGGGCTCCAACGGAGCCTTGTCCCACGGCGTTCATTGAAAAAAAAAACATTATGCAATAGCCGCACCTGAGTGAACCTGACACGCACCTGAGTGAAGTGACACGCGACGACCAGCACAGAACAGCAGAAGCTAACAGTGGACAAGCGTTTAACACCTTGAAGCAGTGCTCTCCGTGTAGCATTGTGTACTGGTCGTGGAAATCTGTCATACATTGCAAGAGCGTTGCGTTCAGACGTTTACACAATGCTGGGTGTAATGCTCAGTGACTTTTAGATTCCACTCACTCGGCTTGAACGGGTGCGAACTGGCTTTAAAATGCATTTTACAGAATCACATCATCTAACGCTACGTTAATGCGGGCAGCGTACAGCCCAGTGATGTATGATATGCACGGTTACGGTTTTTTCATATTCTTTTAGTTGGTGAAGGCGGGAAGCGAACAACTTGCCCTCGATAGGGGACAACGGCGATGGTATATCTCTTCAATCATCCACAGTGTACTTTAAAATGTTGGTGAATCCGGCTACCAAAAGTGACCATTATGCCCAGAACAAAGCCAGGAACCGCTGAGTATCCTCGTTCCGTGAGGGCTACAAACGCTATGACTTGAGTGAAAACGTCCGGTATTTTATACGCTTTACGTTGATCTTTCATATTTCTGTGACGTCTGTTGGGTGTACATCGAGGTCTTGGGGATTGTTCCGACACATGTAATGTCAATCGACCGTAAGAACATCGTCACGCAGGCTACCCCCTACGACGTCTGCTGCCGGGCCGGGCGTGTAGCGATGGCCGGGTGTCGTCGCGGTCGGCACGTCCACCTGACGCCGGCCGTGCCTCGGTCGTTACAGGTGCTGACAACGGCCCACCAGCGGTTCGAGGGCGTGCTCGAGTCGCTCTCCAGTGACAATGACGCGGTGCTAGGAATGGTCAATCTGGTCAACGAGGCGCATCCGAAGCAGATCGATCCGAAAGAAGTCAAGGACCGGCTCATCTTCAAACCCGATCAGATTGTCATGATGTCCATGTGCAACGTGGATCTGGACTATGCAGCTAAGAGTGCGTGTTGAAAACGTTTGGGAGAGAATATGCCCTTTTCCGAAGCCAGATTTCTGTGTGATGCGCGCGCATGCACCATTGCATCCCATGAGCGGTGGTGACGGGGTTATGAACTGTCATGGAATGAGGATTATTGAGGCTTGATCTTTTGTACATGGTTAACATCAAGTTAGCAAAGCCGGCTTTCCGCTGGGCCACCCTTCAAAGCATGTCCATTAAATACGTTTCTGAAGTGATCGCCTGCATCATCGTTGTCATCTTGGGATGCATTAGCTTGGTTTGGCAGCGTAGGTTAGCGAGCGACGGACGACTGACACGCCCGGTGTGATGTTCACAGCCGGCTTCCAGACGGACGCGGCCATCCAGGGCAAGACGAACGGTGGCCTGGGGCCCAAGGAGCTGCAGCCCTGGGTGGAGGATGACGCGCCCGCCGAACTCGTCTCGCTGGAGAACTCGGTCAGTGGGCGGCGCCTGGGACCCCAGCCGGCCGCCGGGCCCCTGCCTCAGACCGCGGGTATTGGGCTGCGATAGAGGCCAACACGGCATATTAGTGCTGTGCCGAGTGATGTGGCTTACCGTTGCATTCGTTCTGAAGGGGATGTTTGCGCGATGAAGTCCTTCTGATAGGACCGTTAAGATTTGTAGGGGAGCTTGTGCAGAACATGTGTAACTACTTGTACCCATGAGAGCGTCGATGAAGTAGACGTCTTAATGCGCTACTGGGTGTTCTACTGACAACGCTCAATCGCGTAAAGCTAAACCACTTCTCCGAGGAGCATCGTCTCGTGCAGAATTTCATGTGGCACAAACCAGTGCTTGTCCTCCACTTGCCAGCAGCTAGTGCAAAGGGCCGCATCTGTTCCGCAGAACGGCTGGGACGCTCGGGACATGTTCCGCATGAACGAGAAGATGTATGGCGTGAAGTCGACGTTCGACCAAACGCTGGCCGGCTACACCACTCCGCTGGAACACACTTCACGCGACCAGGAGGCGCACGCCTCGCGCATCGCCGACGAGATCGAGCGCTCCACTACGTCTCGGCACCGCGCCGACGCCGAGAACGGCGACGAGGAGGCGGCGTTCGCGGCCGTGGTGCGGCCAGGCGGCGGCGGCGGCGGCGGCGGCGGCGACTCGGGTCGCACCGAGCGGTACGTGCCGCCGGCGCGGCGCCAGTCGAGCCGCGAGCCGCCGGCCGGCGCCGGGCCGCGGCCGGGGCCGCGCGGGCCGCCGCCGTCCGGGCGGCCGCGCGGCGGCGCTGCCGGCCCCGCAGGCGGCGGCTGCCTGGGCTCGCGCGGCCCGCCGCCGCACCACGGTCGGCCGGGCGGCGCCGGCGGACGGCCGCAGCACGCGCGCGCCTCGCCGCCCGGCCACCTGCAGCCGCCGCCGCACCACGGCCGCCTCAACGGCGACGAGCGCGCCGACCGCGACAGCCGCGCCGAGCGAGACGGGCGCGCTGACCGGGACAGCCGCGCCGAACGAGACGGGCGCGCTGACCGAGAGGGCCGCGACGGGCCGCAGGCGCCGGCCGCGCCCTCGCCGTCGCCGCCGGCGCGCGGCACTAGTAAATCGCCGGCGGCGGCGGCGGTTGAGCCGGCTGCGGAACGGGCTGGCCAGAGGACGCCTGAAGAGCGGCCTCCGCCGGCGCCGGCTCCCCCGGCCTCGGAGCCGGGCCGGCGCGGCGACACTCGCCAGCGGCCGCCGCAGGGCGGCAAGAGCGCCATCGCCGGCTTGAAGGACTTTCGGCAGAACTTCGTGCTCTCGGATGGGCCGCCCCGCAAGGAGGAGGCGGCCGGGCAGTCGACGCATCCGACGCCGCCGCCGGTGGCTGGTCAAGCCAAGCCGGAGCCTCCGCCGGCCGCCTCACCAGCGCAGACGCCCGACGGCAAGTCAGGCGACGCGGTGGACAAGCTGGCCGGATCGCTGAACAAGTCCAAGCTCAACCCCAATGCCAAGTCGTTCACGCCGTCTCAGCCGGCCTCCATGCCCCCGGTGGGGTACTCGGTGAGCGAGGCCCGCACGGTCTTGTGGTGCGGGCTCGCCCCGGCCAGTGCGGCCATGCATCGGAATGTCTCAGCGCTAATGGTTGGGCACGCTGTCATCTGTATTATGTGGCGGCAATTAGTGCGGGCGTTGACAACACATGTCTCGAAGCCGGAGATGATTCATTGACGAAGGTATTCAGGGAACAATTTAACAATGTATTACAGTTCTGGTGCGGCTATAGGTGGGTTGATAGGATGCTGTTGTGTCACTGATGCTAGGGTGCTCCCGGAAATGTACAATTTCTGCAATGTGTGGCCAGCGTGGTGTCAATGTGTGGAGTTGTCTCCAGACGCACGTGGCAGTATCATGTTGGTGACGTGCCTCACGTGTATGCCCCTCAGCCGGCGCCGACGCCTCCACGTGCACCCACACCTCAGATGGCGTTGGCGCCCAGCCAGTTTCCCTCGCTGCTGGCGCCCACTGGCTACCCGAGCATCAATTACATCATGCCCGGCGGCCAGCCGTTCTCCATGCCACAGCAGCAGCCTCCGCGGCTACAGAAGCAGCGAGGTGCGCCACTGACACGGCATCGGTCACGGCCCGAGTGCACCGCGCTGGCTGGAAGCAAACCACTCACTGCGTTTGCTGTGTGCTGAGCAGTACTGCTGTGTTACATTGCCTCTTTTTTCCGTGTGCTCGACACAGATGTTGAAGTGTTCCGTTCGTTGAGGGACGTACCGATTTACGAGCCTAGCCGTGACGTGTCAGAAAGTGCGTCCGTCAGCGTGCAGCGGCGCTGACGACGTGCCGTGTGTGGCGCGCAGGCGAGTACCCGCAGCTCAGTGGGCTGCAGCACCGGGCCGAGGCGACGCCGATGCAGGTGGCGGCCGTGACCGGCCAGCCGCTGATGGCGCCGTCGCCGATGGCCGGGCACCCGGGCGCGCCGCACCTGCCGCTACAGCTGCCGCAGAGTGGCCTCCTGCCGCCCGCCGCGCAGCACTACCCCGGCCAGGTGAGCCGGCCCCCGCGCCGCGCGCCGCGGGGATCCGTGGAGAGGGCGGGCCGGGCCGGGCCGGGCCGGTTGGTGACACGTAAGGAGGGTACTTTCGCATGGCGAGGCTGCACGGCGTGGTGGACACCTGCTGCGTGGGTTGTTGTGACGTGGACTGGTGTGGGCTGAACGATTGTGACCGACCATGTTTCGTGGGCATTTGGTTGCGTCATGAATGACAACAGCACTTGGGAGCTCTGGTGTGACAGATTGGCACTGGATTATTGCGGTGTTGTCCAGTTGGCAGTGCCGTGTGCTGGTCTGTCGTGTCGTAGCGTCCTGAGCGCGGCTCCAGCACTAACTCTGGCCGTCTGTCCGGCAGCCGCAGATGATCGTACGCATGCTGCCGGCGCACGCGCCCATGTACCAGCAGCAGCAGCAGCCGCCGCCACAGCCGCAGCCGTACGACGGCCAGCAGGGCGGCCCGCCCCCGCCGGGGCCGCACCAGGTCCACTACGGCATGGTGCCGCAGGGCCCGGTGCCGGCGCAGCCGCCCACGCCCGGTCCGGCGCCGGGCGCCGGCGCGCCCGGCCTCATGTACCAGGTGGCCGGCGGCGGCGGCGGCGCGGCCGGCGCCGGCGCAGGCGGCCCCTACCCGCCCAGCAGCATGTACCTGGTGTCCGCCGGCCAGCAGATGCAAGCGGCCCACTTCGCCATGATGCAGGGCCAGTCGTTCTCCGGGCCGATGACGTCGACCGTGACGTCAATGCCCATGTCGCTGGGGCCGCAGCCCTACTACATTCCCCACCAGCAGCACGCGGCGCAGACGTACGGTACGTGGCCGCGCGGCGGCGGCGGTGCGCCCTGACGCGCCGCTCCCGCGCTCCGCCGCCGGCGGCGCCGCGGCGGCCGCCGGCGCCCTGGCCGGGCGGCCAGTCACTAGCCAGACTGTGCAATGGGCCGCGGGGGCGCGGCGTGCTCGCTCGCCCGGCGGATCTGTGTGTCGCCGCGCCGGACGGCAGCCGGGCGCGTGCTGAGACGTCGTCTCTGTCTGTGTTGCAGGTCCGGCCGGTGTCCACCCCATGCCTTTAGTGCCTAATCCGAACCACTGACGCTAGGGCGGCGCGCGTAGGCGACATTGACCTAGTGCATCTGACGGCGCGGGAGGCGGCCGGTACGTCCGCGTGCGCGTGTCGGCGTGCGAGCGCGATGCCGCGCCCTGTTGTGTTTTGTACCGTATTTATGCGTGGCGTGGATGTGGAGCGGTGTGTTGCGGGTGGACGCGAGGTTGGGGTGCGCGTGAGTGGCATTGCGTGCGCGTGGCGAAGCTGCAAGGCCGCGCGCCGCCGCCGGCCGACGAAGAGCGAATGTCTCGTGTATATTGTGTACATACGAACGTACGCGGCTGCCGCTGTTGCTGCTCGTGCTCTATGTTTTGCTGCAGCCTCTCTTCACAGTTGTAGTTGTGTTGTTTTGTAGACAGGTCGTACCGACTCGTGTTTCCTGGCTCGTTGGTCGGCGGTCTGTCGTGGCTCCGCATGGTGGCCGCCGCTCTCCTGTCTCGACTTATCTCCCCTGTCTGTCCGTGGCGGCCGCCGCTCTCCCAGACTGGACTTCTCTCCCTTGTCTGTCCGTGTCCGTCTAGTATCCCAGCAGTCATTCCTGTGATCGGCACTCACCAGCGGGCTGCGGCCGGCCCGCGAACTGCGGGGCGGGCTCCCTGGTGGCCCCGTCAGACCACCTTTTTATACGCCTCGGGCGCTGTACAAGGCGCGTGCGGCGCTGCCTTGTTTTAGCGAGTTGCGAGTGTGGTGCGGAGTGTCTGGGAGAGTAGTGCGCTGAGTGCGGCGCCTCGTCCCGACCGGTGCGAGTGTGAAACTGCGGCGGGCGGCTGGGCCTGGCCTGGCACCACACGGCTGCCGGCGGGGAGCAGAGCCGCCGCCGATAGAGCCACCTGTCGGCCCGCCGTCAGAGACATCTGTCGGCGGCAGCAGGGCACGGCCGTCGCGACGGAGCGCGGCCGGTGGCGCGTCTTAATTGGTGCGCCCGGTTTTAGTCGCCAAGATCGCCAGTGACGCGATAGGCGGTTGTCATGGCAACTGAATTTTAGGCCCATACTAAATTGCTTTTGCGGATGAGGCTTGCTAAAATGCCCGACGCGAGCCATCGGCGGGTGTGCTGAGCGCTGTATTCGACTTCGAAACTTAAATAAATGAAAGATTATTACACTGGGCTAGTGCATGTGTCGTTGTAAGGGCACGCTACGACGAATTAGCCCGGTCGAGTCAAACTGTGCTGCCGCGGCATCAGACAGGTTTTTGTAGAAGATCTGCGTGGCAGGCTTAAGACTTCGGTGCAAGGTCCGCAAAAAGACACTACGAGATGCGAACGGCCATTCCCTGCATTGAGTACACTGGGGATGTCTTGACCCAACGACAGTATGCGTTTCTGTTAAAGCAAACTCCGGAAGGGTGTTTCTCTTTTTGCGTTTGCGGGCAGTGACTGCTTCAAACCACTGGCCACCAGCGGCAATGTTATAGTTTGAGCATAAGAGAAGAGGCAGGCGGATGACAATTGTCGCAGCGCAGTTATGGCTGAGCATGGTGGCCAGTGGGTGGTGCACGCCAGCGAGTGAACTTCAAAATTTGGCGCTACAATGAGGCTCAGAACCAACGGTGTCAAGCTTCTCCAGTTCTGAAGCCCGAATATTAGGCCCGGTAACGTGCGAGTAAATTGGTGGTGTGCCGTAAAATGAACCGATCCGAGAATTTTGAATAAATGTGGAGAATTCTCCGACTGGTCCGTGTGGTGTGTGTTTCATTGCGGCTCTTCTCCGACAACTCGTATGTACCTGGCATTTTCCTGTCGTAACACGGACAATAACAGGCTGCTCCCCGTTTGCTTGATCGTCAGCCTGCACCGATTCTTTTCATGAGTGTCGCTTTCAACATGGCCTTACAGCTTCCACTCTTGTTTCTCTCCGTCCCCAATCCAGGACGCGAGCCGATGGCCAGCGGGTGGGTTGTTCCAAATCCCGATCGGCGCCACAGTCGCCATCAGCATTCCGGCTGACGGGAATCCGCTTACCGTTCCCGCCGGCGTGCCCCACAGAGGAGACAAAGACCGCCCTGGAGCCGCCATGACCTGAGGATTCATTACGGCAGGGAACAGCGTTGCCGGGAAATATGTGCAGAACTCATTACAGAAGGAGACTGCGCACGCTGTTGGCGCTCCCTCGGTCTCAGGTCACTCTCCCGACGATAAGATGAAAAGGGAGCCGGCCCGAGAGACTGTGTACCTAGAAATGGTGATGAGTGGCGCGCTGTAGTATCTGCGCCCGCTGGAGACTGGGGACGATGTAGCTGCCGTATAGCTGCCGGTGACGAGAGTCTATAGCTGCCGGCGGCAAGAGCCCCTAGCTGCCGGTGGTGAAAGTCCATAGCTACCGGTGACGAGAGTCCACAGCTGCCGGTGACGAGAGCGTATAGCCGATAATTGCTGTTGGTGGGAGTCTAGCGTTTGCGTAGCGCCGGGAGTTGGCAGAAAATCACAGATGCTCATTACGCCAGAGTTTGAGGTTTAGAGATATTAGTGTCTCGGGGATGGGCTGTGAGGAGCTGTACGTCTGGTCCTTGACCGCCAGTATCCAGTTGCGTACACTGCAGGCCTCGTGGCTTGCTCTTTCAGCCGAAAGCTTGCATATGATGATGAGTCGGGCTTTGGGACGCATCGACTTCCATGGTAATATGGCGTCCATAACTTGCTTTTTATCTAACAGATCGCGAAAAAGGCACGGAGAAAAAGGTTGCATCCGATATATGGCATGGGGTTGTATGTCTTCAAGACAACTAAAAATATGACCGTTATTTACTACGCTCCAGTCGTCTCCCATCATACCATGGAGCGTTTGACGATGGACCCTGATCCAAAATGGCGCATGCGTTCCGAGGCGAGGTGGGCACAATCCATCAAGACATGTCGTTCGGTGTAATGATCCCCGCAGCGAGGACATCGCGGTTGATCTTCCCCTTATAACAGGCATCGCTGAGTTGCGTATGTGTGTCCTATTCTCAGGCAGCATAGCGTCACTTCATCCCGCCACACCTTACGAGCGCTCAACGCCCAACCGGGTGCTTTATCTCTCTGTTTATTGGCAGCATGCGCATCTCAATTTGCTTGTCACTGCTTCAACATGAATGCGGATACTATTCCATGTAGGTCGTTGGCGGAGACGGTCATAGTAAGGATGCCAGTTGCGTGTGTGGCACGCCTTGTTGCGAAATTAATTACTTCGTTACCTGATGTGCCAACATGCTCGGTATCCAGCAGAATACCACCTGCTTCGCGGATCGGGACGGTGTAGTAAGAAGAATTAAAATGTTCTGAGCGATGGGAGGTGATGAATCCAAATCCTGCAGTGCCATAAGGCTTCTAAGAGAGTCCGATAAAACTAAATGTTAATCATCACTGTCAACTTCTATGAAATGAAGTGCTTCGAGAATGGCTATTGGCTCGGGCGTGAACACCGATGCGTGACCAGGCAAAGCAAAAGGCCGTGTGACAGAACCTTGCATAAAAGTGCATCCAACACCGGCACTCGCTTTCGATCCGTCCGTGTAGGTCTTCTGTGTTCGGGGTATGACGCGATCATCTTCAAAGACCTAATCCGGAAATCGTCCGAGGAACGTCCTACTCTTGTTGAGATGGGAAAGTGAGACATCCACCGCTGGTAGGTAGAGTTTCCGAGGAATTTCCCAACGATTCACATGCCGTGTGCGAATGCCACATTCCTATAAAAGTACGAATATTCTCACACCGACGGGTGCGACCTGATAAGCTTTCCCAGTCAAAAACATGCGTATTTTTCTGCGCGAAAAGACTCGCTTGTATGTTGGATGATCAGGAAATCATGCCATCTTACACGTGTATCTCATGTCCAGTATCTTTCTCCTTGTGGGCAAACGGGGCTCACGGGCCTCAACAAGGGGGTTTGCTGTCGGAGAGGTCCTGAATACGTCTGTCGTGATGCGTGAGGCGGTATCATGTATCGTGTTCAAGGAAGGCTTTACTGGCTTAGAAGCCCCGTCATAAAAAAGAAGCATAATCGAGCTCGAATCTGATAGGAGAACGGTGAAAGAGCAGGAGCGTTTTCCTGTCCGCACCATATGACGTGCGTGTAATGCACCTCAGGGCATTCATGGTTTTAAAACGCTAGGGTCGCAAAGCTTTTATATGGTGTTTGTAAGTTAGACGGCGATCAAATTGCACGCCCAGGAAACGGACCACGGGCTCAAATGGGACCGTTTCGCCATACAGTCGAATCGCTACATCCTGGCAGCGAGCACGACGGCGACAAAAGTGCATACCCATTGTTTTTAATGCAGAGAAACGAAAACTTTTGAGCGTTGCCTTTCTCCCCAGACGTATTACAGCTAGTTTCAACTGACGCTCTATCGCTGAGGTTGGAGAAGAGCTGCACCAGATTGTAAGATCGTCGACGAAAAGCGAGCGACCAATGAACTGAGGCAATGCTTTCCCGACGTCATTGATCATGAGCGCAAAAAGCGCGACACTTAAAACGCCACCTTGGGACACACCGTTCCGTTGTAAAAACGATCAGAGAGCTGATAACCAACACGGACGCGGAAAAAAACGCTCTGCTAAGAAATTCTGTGAGAAAAAACAGCTCATGCTACGACGAATACCGGGCTTAAAAGCCGTCATAAGGATACCATGCCGTCATGTGGTATCGTAAGCCGTCATAAGGATACCGTCATGCCGTCATGTGGTATCGTAAGCTGTCATAAGTATACCATGCCGTCATGTGGTATCGTAAGCGCCCTCTCTGTCAAAGAAGACAGCTCCCACATGGCGGCGCCGGTTAAAATCAGCACGGACAACAGTGTCCAAGGTAAGAAGATGGTCTAGCGTGCTACAGGGTTTCCTAAAACCACACTGAGAATCAGTCAGAATGGCATGTTTCTCTGAAGACCACGAAAGGCGACCATTGACGAGCCTCTCCATCAGCTTGCACTGTGAATATGTAAGAGAGATGGGTCTGTAGTGAAGCGTATCTTTGCCGCTTTTACCTGGCTTTAATAGGGGAACCACAACAGCTTTTCGCCAAATGTTCGGAAATTCGCCTCGTCCCCAAAGACGATTAAAAGTGGTTGAAGAAACGTCCAGTACGCAGATGGGTAGCTGTCGGATCATGTCGTTATGTATCTCGTGAGGACCCTCTTATACGCTCCGAAACCTGCCATCAGCAGCCCACAGCTCAACCATTGTGAATGGCTCGTTGTAGGCAAGCTGCACAGAGGTGGAAAAGCCCACTGGACTGGCCGCATGACACGTCTTGCGCAGGAACTGGGGATCAACGTTACCGTCTCCACACCGTTCCGCAAGCGCACGACCGATCTCGTTGGCGACGTCAGCGGGGTGTGAAATGTCCCGCCCACCAACCTCAAGGACCGGTGGAGGAACCGCGGAAAACTGACCGGAGATATGCTTAATCTGTGACCATACTTGCGACACAGGAGTGAAACGATTTAGACGTCCCGCGTACTCTTACCAAGAAACGCGCTTTGCCTTCCGGATTATACGCCGGGCCAAAACTCTAGCCTTCCCAAATGAAATGAAATTCTCGGTTGTGGCGCGACGGTCAAAGGCCCGGAAGGCAAAGGTCTGCGTGCCCAGATAACAGCTTGGCACTAGCCGGTCCACCACGGCACCGGGGTGCGACGAGGAGCCCCAGAGGTCTTTGGAATGCTTACGTTCGCTGCGCGTAAAAGCGCGGACGTGAAGTGTTTGATCGAGTAGTTTGCACCATCTGCGGACTGTGCGCTACTTTTCACCGTTAGCTGAGACTCAAACTCACTCCAATCTGCTTTTTTAAAGATTCCGCCGTCGTGGTCGAGGGCCGAGGACCACCCTGTCGCGGTACTACAACCCCGCTGGGAAATGGCCGCTTCCCAAGGGCTCGTCGGTTACAGCTCACGCAAAAAGTTGCGTGAGCTGCGGGCTCACCAGGCTCAGGTCCAAAACCGACGTCTGACCTGACGGTAACGTAAAATGTGTCCGAGATCCCGTATTCAAAACACAGAGCCACTCCTCGTGAATCAATTGTTCTAAAGTACGTCCCCGCACGTTGCCCTCATCACCACCTCAAACGGTACGGCTCGCGTTGAAATCTCCCAAGATATCAAAGTGGGAGGGAGCTCGGCCATCAGCTGTCTGAGCTATGCCAATGGAAAACTGAGCCTCGGTGGCAAATACAGGGAACACAGGGCTACAAGACGATGACTGAAATGTAGGCGTGCAGCGATAGCTTGGAGAGAGGTTTGTAGCCTCAGCTGCTACGCAGACACACTGTGCTATACCGCCAACAACACACCACCGTGCGCCACAGTGTCTGCCAGCACATCCTTTTTACGTACTGAGTATTCTTTGATGGTGCAGCAAGAATCTGGTGCAAACTTTATCTCCTGGGGGCAGGCAGCAACCGGACAACGGTTATAAGTACAGCGTGTAAATCCTGGGTATTGGCTCGTTAGCCTGTACAATTCCATTATAGAAGGACATGTAAAAACCTGGTTAAAATATTAAGCTTGAAACTTACGAAACTAAGGGAAACATGGGCTGCGTGAAAAGGCAACGTAAAGCTGTTACAGGTCGTAAAAGGGACTAAGCCGACTAGAAGTGGTTCTCTGCACCAGACGAAGGGCCGAACTCCCTGAAGTGTACCCGGGGGTGTACACCTCCACTTCGGCGCAGCCTCCCGTCTGTAGAAGGCGAACGACCGTCATTCGGGCCTGACTGAAACTTGAACCGCGCCCGCAGACTTTCTGTATCCGTCGGCCAGCCCCCACGGCAACCCGCGCTTAGCGGGATGGCCCGTGGCGGTAGGAGGATCCGTCCGCCTCGGAGACGACGGCGGGGTCGCCGGAAGGTGCCAGGGACTGAGCAGGTGCAGCGGAAGATGGAGGACGCGGCGGGGACCCATTCGGGACGGAACAAGCGGCGGCACAACACGCCTCCAAGGCGTGGAAGCGCTCCATCCTGAAGAGGACGACACCCACCAGCCACCCCAGAGGGAACCCCGCACCGCCAGCCACCGCCGGCACGGACGCCCCGGAAGACCCCAAGGGAGGAGACTGCTCGCCGTCCCCCGCTGGGGTCGATGAATCGGTAGCCCCTGCGGACCGCCTGGCCATCCTCGCCTGCTCGATCAGACACCTGGCCTCGCGGGCTCTCCTCTCCACCTCACCGCGCCGCAAGGCCCCCATCACTGTCTCGCCAGGTGAAGCTCGGCTCGTAGTTGTTGAGAGAGACGCCGTGGTCGGCGCTTCTTTTCCAGCACGTGTCTGGTTTGGTCGGGAGGGGTGCCCATCCCGACCCCGATTAACCAGAGTCCACCCCTCTCCCTCCAGCGTCTCTCCGACCGGGGAGGTCGGTGGCACGGGGGCCCGCTGCGGCGCAGCTATCGGCGGTGCGGCGGGTGCCGCGGACACAAATGAAGCATCCGAACCCGCCGCCGGTCTGCAAGTCAACCCAAATGACCGGAGAAGTCTATAGACTGTGCCAGCTTCATACGGTCCGAAATGATTTCACGATGAACCACACTTGAGTGGGAAGGAGTCACTGCACTTATGTGAGGCACTTTGGGAAGTGAGCTATCGTAAATCTCCCGTGCCTCCCGGAAAGAGATACATCGGGAGCACTCGATGGTGATAATCTCTTTTTTTAGAGTACACCGGACAAGCATGGTCAAATGTCGTGTGCGGGATCTGGCTTTGTCGCAAATCACACATTTCGGTGGCGCAGCGTTGCAGTTCTCGCTAGTGAGGTCAGTCCCAGCACATTTCCCACAAGACGGTTCGTTCCTGCAGTAGGGTTTTGTATGGGCCAAAGCGAAGACATCGAAAACAGCGCATAGGGTTGAGAATGTATAGACGAACTTTCCTTTCTACGTGACCGACGACTATTTCTGAAGGAAAATCCATACGGTTTAAAGTAAGGATAGCACTGTTCGTCGGGACCAGGTGCTCCCCTCTTCTGACCCTGATCCGACGAACTTCCACGACACCGAGACCAGACAGAGCATTCACGATATCCTCCTCGCTGACACCCTCCAGGTCAAAACAGTTAACGTTCCCACGAGAACAGATCGGTTTTGTGAGCCGTCACCGTGATGGACAGAGTGATGTATCTCCTTCCATCCTTATCTCTGACCGCACATGTGGATAATGTTGCTTTCATTGCGTTTTCCGCTTCCGCTTCATTAAAAAAGAAAAAATCCTCGTCGATCGCTCCATTCCTAAGCTTATCACGGCGCGTCACCTTGTCAAGCCGATCACATCCGCCACGCCGCTGAACGGGCGACAGACTATGCAATTCTTTTTCATTGCTGGCAAGCACGAAAATCCTTGGGCAAGACTGAGCGGCCTGCCCAGTAGTCCCCAGTACTCTCACTCTCCCACATCTAGTCTGCTGCAACGGGGCGGAAGGGGAATCAGTCCGTGGCAGCGGCATTTCACTGATCCCAAAAGGATTGCTTCGTCCCTCCGCCGAAACAGAGGGACGGTTGTCCATCGTCGTCAGCCGAGCCGTTTGAGCTAAGGTGTTTCCGATGGGGTTGGTTGAAGGAAAACCCATGCAAGTTTTTCGAAGCATTCGGCAGCGGGGCTCCCCAACCACCACGGAGCCCGACTCGGGGACAGTCCAACACTCCCTCCGGAAGTGGTCGCCGCCAGGACTACCCCGGTGCTATAACGGGCGAACGACGCCTCTGACACGGCCAAGTGTAACCGAGGAGGACTCGCCCCGTTCTGACCGTGGTTCAGCGTCACCGCCTGACCCCTAAGCCGCTGAGCACGGCCAGGCACCCCAAGCAGAGACCCGCACGGAGCACCCAGCCGCAGCGCGAGCGACAAGCCGCTGGACCCGTATGGGGCCCCACGAGGTCCACGCCCCCCCCCCCCCCGGATATCCTGGCCAAAGTGGAATGTTGGAACGTGAGTGAGCGACATTCGTGACTGACCCGCACGACGCGCCCCTCAGCCACCAGGATCCTATCAACCCGGGGACGCGGGCGAGGGGACACGGCGACCCCAATAAAAAGAGGATTAGGAGTGATGAGTGAGCCAGATGTGGAAAACTTTTTACAGCGTAACGTTTTAGGACAGCGTAGTACGACAGCGGACAGCGTAACGTCTTAAGTCGGGTGTCATGACAGACGACGCCAAAGTCTCTTAATGTTTTATAATCTTATAGCTATAGAGCGTTTGGCTCCTCTCATGGTAGCAGTAAGCCGTGCGTGTTTCCCACATCCAACTCAATTACGGACCAATCGTAGCTTACTTGTCCGGAAACTAAAGCTTTAGACAGCGTAACCAGGCGTGAGAGCTGTAAACTCGGGAATTGTTTCGCCAGGAATTACCAGGGTTGGGGGTTAAGAAATGGTCACGAATGCGAAACATAATGTATGATCGGCCCACAACTATCAGCAGCCGGGAATGCCGACCTGCCTATAATCAACGCCAAATCGGGGCGAGCGCAGGGCTCCGTAACGCTTGCTTGCGTTACAAAGCGTGCATTATCACAGATTTGAATGTGTAAGTGTGGTAACTGGCAGTGCTGAACTCAATTTGATTATGTGATGGTAGATTTATAGATGTCATGCAAAAGTGTATGTAATTTGTTTCACTTAACACGCACTCGGGTGGGGGTCAAACTGACCCCCAAAGGCTTTTCCAGAATGTTTTCCGAACGGTGTGACATAACTCCGTCAAATTTTGTATAGCTGTAGAAAATTAAATGGCTGATCGTTTGATGTCATAAATCGAAATGTACATTGTAGGGTAGCTGACCTATGGCAGGTCAAAGTCAGGCTATAGTTTAAGCAAAGCCAATTTCAAGGGGATTGTTCAATCTGATGCAACAACGGTGTGCTCGACGAAGCCATACATCTCTTAGATGCTTTGTTAGGCAATACAACTATTGAATAAGCAACTTACATTGAACTAAGATCTGGTATGAAGGTCAGATTAAGTTCAGAACCAGCCTGCTTTATTACTGTAGGGCTTGCTGTATGGGATAGTTTCTGGTGCTCATTTTCAATTTATTGATAGCAAGAGCCACATTCTACATTTTATTAGAGGTCAGGACAGGCCACTGTTCTAACATGACCCAGGTGAACATTTTGTTTTTAGGAACATACCGCCTAGCGTAATCTTTGTCGCTTATTCCAATGTAAAAGTCAAAGCAGTCTTGTGTGATTTTGGGCACCATGACCTTTAAAAGGTCAAACAAGGTCCTTAAAGGACCTTAAGGGACCTTAAATAAGAATTTAAAATTTTGCTTAGAAACAATTATCTACGTTCTGAGGCACTTTGTAGACCAGCCTGGAATTTGACCTTGTTTTATTTTGTTTGACCCGAAGGTGATGACCTAGGATCTTCAAACTTTGACCAAAGTGAGTTCATGCGCAGGTCAACACACCCTGTGAATTTAGTGTTTTTAGCTCCCTTAGTTCCCGAGATCTCAGGGGTCAAATTAACCCTTACCCGGGCGAAGGGCATCCAGCCGGCCGGCCGGGCGCGTGTTAAATTAGGAATTTGCAGATGCATGTACAGCTAACACATAAACAGTCATCATCTCAACCCGAGGCTACCACTGGTCAGAGTGGGTGCGTTACACGACAAATCGAACGTCGCAGTGATGAGCAGATAAGCTACAGCTTCGAGAGGTTTCACGGACGCCGACGTAACGCGATACCTCGGCATTGCCTGTACGCTATGTATTTCCGTCCGCGGGGACATGAGCTCCAAACTACGACTTCCGACGAGTTGAGCGTCTATTCTCTAAAACAGCCCCGCAAATCAGGTCTCACAAGACATGTTGGGCAATTCAAATTGTCACTACAACCTTCTTCCAGCAGGAGAGCTGCGAGAGGTGGCTCTGTCCGCACCGTCAGCAGCTGGCGGCCGGGCAGGATGCCAGGACCTACCCGGGGTCGCTTTCGTCTCGGCTCGACCCCGTCGGCCGACTACCGGTGTCCGCAGCCCGCCTCGGCCAGCCGGGCCAGCGCGGGGCCGCTGATCCGGTAGCTCTCCCACTGCTCCGTTTCCGAGAGGTTGACCGCCCCGATGTGCCGGTAGAACTCCTTGGCCAGAGCGTTCCAGCCGAGCACGGAAAAATTGAGCCGGACGCAGCCGGCGCTCACGGCCCACTGGGCGACGCCGCCGATCAGACGCCGGCCGAGGCCGCGGCCGCGCCTGGCCGGCGTCACGTACAGGTCCTCCAGGTACACGGAGCGGCCCTGCCAGGTCGAGTAGGTGAAGACGTGCAGCGCCATGCCGAGCAGCGCACCGCCCCCATCCAGCACGTGACAATTGAAGGCCGGCGACCCGGCGGCCGGGAACCCGTCCGCCTCCAGACGCTCCGTCGTCATCTCCACCGCCTCTGGCATCTTTTCGTACTCGGCCAGCTCCTGGCAGTGGGAGCCCGGCTGTCAGGTGTCAGCTGCCGAGGATGGATGTGAGGTGTCAGCTGCCGAGGATGGATGTGAGGTGTCAGCTGCCGAGGATGGCTGTGAGGTGCCAGCTGCCTGGGACGCATGTGAGGTGTCAGCTGCCGAGGATGGATGTGAGGTGTCAGCTGCCGAGGATGGCTGTAAGGTGCCAGCTGCCGAGGATGGATGTGGGGTGTCAGCTGCCGGGGACGGGTGTGAGGTGTCAGCTGCCGAGGATGGATGTGAGGTGTCAGCTGCCGAGGATGGATGTGAGGTGTCAGCTGCCGAGGATGGATGTAAGGTGTCAGCTGCCGAGGATGGATGTGGGGTGTCAGCTGCCGAGGACGGGTGTGACGGGTGGTTAGGTAGCGCCAGGAGAAGTAGCACATCAGTCCGAATAACGTTTGTCGGGCTGCTGGCCCACATCAAGTGGTGCGAGTCTTTTTCAAAAGCAGTGTCGAGAATCTATCCCAGTACGTTGCCCAAGTACAATCTATCCCAGTACGTTGCCCAAGTACAATCTATCCCAGTACGTTGCCCAAGTACAATCTATCCCAGTACGTTGCCCAAGTACAATCTATCCCAGTACGTTGCCCAAGTACAATCTTTCCCAGTACGTTGCCCAAGTACAATCTTTCCCAGTACGTTGCCCAAGTACACTTAAATGTCAATGTCCGCCCGTCACAAGACATTCTTATTCTCGGCCACAGATCGTTATCCATGTAATTGCGATGCAAGTCGGTGAAAAAGGCTTGTTAGCCTTACCTTGATCAGAGACATGATCTGGGCACAATCTTCCTTGACTGCCTGCCTAACAATCACGTTGCCGTCCGCCATAATGCCGTCTCGGTCCTAGCTGCTCACTGCCCAGCTGAAATACACCGCCGTGTTTCAGGAAGCAGTCTGCACCGCTCAAACACGCCGTCGTGTTATGGGAAACAGTCTGCACCGCTGAAACACGCCGCCGTGTTACGGGAAACAGTCTGCATCGCTGAAATACGCCATCGTGTTACGGGAAACAGTCTGCACCGCTGAAACATGCCGTCGTGTTATGGGAAACAGTCGGCATCGCTGAAACACGCCGCCGTATTATGGGAAACAGTCTGCGCCGCTGAAACAAGCTTCCACAGGAAACACACGTATTGCACCCTTACACCTAGAGCGTTTTGATGAAACCCCTTCTGATGCTTGCAACGTCTTAGCTCGTTTTCTGTTCCGGGGTCTTAAATTATCAGCTGTTGTGGACGGAGGGACTGCGGATGACGTTACATTCTGTAAAGTGACATCATAGCGCTGTCAGAAACAAACGGCCACAAGGCATTGGCCAAGCTTGTTACTACATTCCGTTTCAGGGATGCAGTTTTGTATTCAGTGGGACAAGTTTCAGAACCCCCCCCCCCCCCCCACACACACACACAACACACTTTGTTGTTAGTCTACCCGCAGCTTAGAAACAGAAGTGAACTAAACCATATAGAAATTGGATAACGCACTGAAATAGAGTAGTTTGAGTTATGGTCGCCGGGCTCAGGCCCTTCTCTTTACTGGTTTTGCGAAACTTCGCCTTTGCTCTATTTCAAGCAGTGCGGTGACTTACTGGCTTCACTTTAATGTTCGGCACAGGTGAGGTCGGTTACCGTCCTCCTACAATTCCCCACTCGCTGGTCTGTTGGCTGCATGTGAGAAATAGCCGATCTGACCTGACCCATGGGAAAATTTTGTGGTCTTTGGTAAATGCAATGCAAAGATTTTGCCTGGCATTGCACTACGTACGAATTTCAGATGCACACACAACATCCCATTGGTCTCCCACACAAAAATGTTGCGCTTGATCCTGAATCTGTTGTCAAGTCCCCAGATTCTCAATCGTCTGTGCGATATTATGAAGTGGCTGCGGGTTGTTGCGGCACAGCTGAAGGGGCAAGGGTGTCCTTGGCACTGAAGAGCTCGAAAGGGGCGAACAATCCAGTATGACCAAATATTTCAGCCAGGACGACTTCTCTCTCCACCGGGACTGTAAATCGCCGATGGAAAAGGGGTTTTTGATCTTGGATTTCTTGGAAAGGAAATCGGATCTCTTCAGGAATAGTTATGGCGAATACCAGGCTTGCTGTCGTCCGAAACTCCAGTAGGACGAATGGGCATGTCGAAGAGACGTCTATGCAACGCAGGCGGTCGATTCTTTAGCCGATTCATAGAAGCTAATGGTAACTTGAAAACCTATTTAGAAAGAATTTCCCCGTCTTTTCAAATGCTTAACACACATATGGATGCATCATGTTCTTCGGCGACAGGTAGAAGATGTTTATGTTAAAAAGCCTATTGCCCCTGCTGTACCCAATACCGTGTCTGATACCATGCATTTAAGATACAAGTGGCATTACCATACATCCTGCTAACGAGTGTATAGGACATTTCAAAACCGCATCATCAGTTGAAATACGAATGCGAGCATGAACAAAGACATAATTATTGCTCAAGACAAGAGAATCAAGGAGAATCTACAAGCATGCACACTTTGGGTGTAACGAGGTTGGGCGTAACACGTCAGTGATTTAGCTACAAGACCAAACCGTGCGTTGCATCTCGACCACAATTTCTTGAAACGAATAGTCCGATGCCTCTTCGCCTTGTACTTTCTGCGGTGTTGCACAAGGAGCTCATTTCAATCACTTGGAATTTTATATACTTTGGTAATGCCCGTGGTTGTTGCTCCGCGGAACTTTGCTCAAAGCTTTGCTCACCGTTTTTAGGTCTATGATTCAAATTCTGTCTGGGAAAGAGCGCAAAAAGATTATACCCAGAAACTACAATAGCCCTACCGAAAAGTATTTGTCATCGAGCGTGTAACATTTGGGTAAGATCGTTTGCTCACAGATGCCATGCAGTAAATGTTGTTGCAGGCCGTTGTGTCGTCGTGCGGCAGGCCAGTGTGTCGTCGTGCGGCAGACCAGTGTGGAGGCGACGTCCCGCGCAGGGGTGTATTCGTACCAAATTAAAGGAGCACACTGATACTCCAGTCAGGGCCAAACGCCTAACCCCACATTACTGGAGGCGGAGCGACCAAGCGGCGACTATATGTTGCCCTAGAGCCCGTTGGGCAGCAGCCAATCGTATGCTAGGGTAGGGGCTGGCCACTGAAAGCTCGTCAGCGCCCGCAGGGGGTGGATGGCGACTGGCGCGGCAGCGGGTGACGCTGACGCCACTATTAAACTGCCATCGCCCTACATCTAGCCTGGATAGAAGTCGTGGTTTTTGACCGAGCTTTACGTCAGACCCGACGGGTTTTTACGGGCTACGCATTTAAACAAGCGGACTAATGCATCCGTTTGCTAACGCTCAAATTTCGAAACTATTCAAAAATCAAAGTGGTTGTTTTGTGACGTAAAACTTTTTTGGGTGACTTCCAATCAGGTGACGCAAAAAAGCTTCACACGAGTTTGCGTTTGCTTACCTCAGAAACAAGATGGTTTGAAGAATTAAAAGGCGATAGCTGTGAACTTCAGGGAATAATCATGTAAATGACTTCCTCTGCTCAAAACCTCGATGCAAATGCAGAAAAGTCTCTTCAAATATGCTTTCCTCAGATTTTTTTCCAGCGAAAGTTTTCGTTGCCATTTTGCAATAGCTCGTTTCTGCAACGGTGTTAATAGTGAATGATGCCTCTAGAGAGGTAATGATAGCCCCCTCTGGAAAAACTGTTTTGTTACCCTTGTCCGTAACATGACAGAAATGGCATGGTGCCGATCGTCCTGGAGGAGAGCATGGTTAATGGTAAGCATAGACAGCGGCACATATTTCTGGCAATGGGGAACGGGTTAGCGATGGAGGATCTGGGGCAGCTCCGTACTCTAGAAATTCTCTCTTTAGCTACTCAAACTTGTGCATGCATTATGGCCCGGAATATAAAAGTTTATTGCCTCCCTTAGTCCCTCACCGGATAGGTATGGCTTTCAGCTGCCGGTGAGTATAGCCGCAGTTGCTCATACCCGTACAATATAATAATCTGGCCCTTGTATGTGCAGTGCTATATACGACGAACATATCCTTCTATGAATCCGTGAAGAGCCGGCTACCATACAAGACAAGCAGGGAATTGCCACGATTCCAAAAGTTTAACGAGTATGCTGTATTATCCCAATCGAGTTACTAGCAATGGTGTAGCCAGATTAGTACTCGTCACGTTCTGGGACTCTGTAAAACAGTGAAATGACCATTAAAAAGTTGTTTGCCTTCTGTAAGTACTTGTAATTTTAAAATTATATTTTTATTCGATATCATAGTGTCCTAAGCCGTTGTGCGTTACCCGTGTCAATCATATCAGTTGCTAAAGGTGTCAGTTATCATCCAGCATGGTAACAGCTGGCATCGTTATTGTGACCCACTTTTTACCTTCCCTCATGTTTTATTAGCTAACACTTGTCATTCTAGTTTAAAACTTTGGAATTCTCATGTTGAAAGCATTAAACTGACGTGAAGTCTTCAAAGTCGCACAATATGGTCAATATATTGCGTTGTTGGACAATGCAATCTGATAAACTGTATAAGCACTGAAAAACAACAGACAAAAGGGCGTGGAAGGTAAACAGTGAAATAAAATCTATTCCACATGCTAACAACCAAACCAAAAGCATAACTACGAGCCCTGGAGCAGCCAAATTACACTTGGTTGTCACTGGATACTATCATCTTACTATGAAAACAACAACATGCCCTGTCGCGGAGCCACAAAAGATCGGTGGCTGTGCACGCCAGCGGACGAAGGTTCCCGCTTCAGTGATAAGGAGTTCATGGTGAGCTTGGGCTAAAGATGAAACAGTAGTTGATACAGAGTGCCCTTGGATGCATGGAAGGCTCTGGACCACCTGTGTTAAGTCCGTGCGTCCAATTCCATTGAAATGTGGGTGCAGGGGCGGTGTTACAGCGCGAGCATCACGACGCCATGAAGTCCGCGCACCACGTGGTTTGACGGAAGGGTGGATAGCTGGCTTCTCATACGTTGGTACTGGGTACGAGCCCCGGGGTGGGCGCATTGCTCCGCCCATCCGTCAAAGACAGGCCTCCTGGCCGCTGGACAGAGACGGAGTCAAAGTGACGTGTGGCGCGACGTCAGAGCGCGGTCGCAGTCCTGTCTGCCAAGAACGCCGTCGGTGAAATTGCACGATGAACTGTTTCGTACAATTTCGTACAAAAATCCCCGACTCATTTGGAGAGATGGAATCGGGGATCACGTACCAAGCTTTGTGTGAGGAGCGCGGCGAACATAAAACCATGCATACTGAGCATTTGCATTATTATCTGCGGGAAATTGTGCGAGGTAAATTCTGGGGCTGACTTTACGGAGAGCATGGGGTAAAAATGACATGCTTTTATTACAGAGGGTGAGAGCTCATGCGGGATTGTCTTCAATGTCCCTTATGTCATCTAGTGCAAGCAGTGTTTTAATTTCACTAGTCAATTTTCTCCAAGTGGTGGAATCAAGTCGACGACACAGCTTAAGAAAGTGCATATTATGGGACGTGATCTAGGAACCTGAACTCGGATGTGGACCTTTTGAGAGGATCAAGTCATCGATCCCGAGCCTGCAATGCTGAAACCCTGTCTGCAATAGAATGCAGGTACAAACTGGTTTTATAGTTTATTTTTTGCGGTAGTGTCGTACAAAAATGTCTTCACTTCCCCTGTACTCTCTACTATTTATGCTTGTTTACATTGCAATGAACTGAGAAGATTTACCACAATTTCAAAATATTCCGCATATCTTGACCTATTACCCATGCAAAGCCTTTAGCTGATGCAGTCAGTTTTAGAGGACGTATGGGTGGTACAGGAGGTACAAAGAAGCTGAAAAGAGGTACAGGGGTAAGATTA